GATTTTCTATCCCTGCTTCGACGCCACAATTTGTTAAACAAAGAGGGTACGCGATTTACGTGCACAATAGCGGGAACGGAAACAGGCGTATCGCGCAGGTTGAACGCAAGAAAACACGGGTAACTTAACAGAAATCAATTAGGGATATAATGACAGATCGAAGGAGAGATTTCCGATTCGAGGATAGCAGATGACATGACGGATGTAAAATATTCAGACGCGTACAAGTAGCGAGACGTAAATTGGACACGTGATGCTTGAAACTCTACGCGGGGTCATTGGTTCGTACAATTATATTTCGAGTAAAACTCGTACGATAAAATGCATATCAGACCTGTAACGCTTAATCAACATCGAGAAGAATTTAACTACGTTCTGAAGATGTAATTTTTAAAAGGACAACGATAATTTGTTACGAATCACGCTGTGAATTCCTAGTCCGGAAAGCGGTTGTTTTTTGAGACAACGATTAAAAAGTTGAAGAATTAAATTGTGGAATTACGCGAACAACTTCCGTGTTTACCCAATTACCACTACGTTCGAACGGTCACAATAGGTTTAAAAGCTCCGAAGAGAATTAAAAACGATAGAAATATTACGTGGATCGCGACGATTAAATTTCTGAAAAAGCAGTATCGATCGTTTCGTCGAGTTTTTCGAAGGTCGCGGGCATCGACCGGCGTCTTCGAATTTGCGGTTCGTTAAAGGAAACTGGTAGTATCGCGAGACAATCTCCCGGAGATTATTGTACGAGGCACTTAAGCGAATCTCGGGGCAAAATCCAGTTGAATGAGAACGCTGCCGGGTTGATCCGTGTCGACGACTCCTCTAAAGTCCCTCTTTGCGCCGTCGTCGACGTAACTCGCGGTAAGTTGGTCCGCCGACTGGCTTAATTGCTAATTAATTCTAATTGATAATTCCCTCGATAGTGTTAGCCCGGGAAGTAATCTCAAAGCATGTTTACGCGAAAGTTCCGACGCGCAATCGCCGCTCTTCGCCTCCTGGGCGTCTCGGGCCTCGTCAGTCTCTGCCCTATCTCGCTCCACGCCGCCTCGTTTTCTTTGAACGTTGATTTTTCGACGCGAAAATTAACAGCTTCAAGGTACCGTCCTACGTACACGCTACAATTAACGGAAATTTCGTCGGTCTCGCGATCGAACGTGGTCGCCGACTGTACTTTTAAGGGACTGTTCCACTTAAACGCGATTTCAACTTTGTTTTTGGACGATTGGAAACTTATTTTTACGGCCCCTTGATCTTGAAAATCAATCAATTTTTCAGCTCCTCAGTGAAAAGTCCACGACTCGTATTAGAGTCAATGAGTTAAAACAATTTTTTTTTTCCAGTGTTAAGAAATCTTAGATGTTTGAAACAATATATGAAAATACGTCCATTTTTACGGTTCCGGTAGGTTGGAGACCCTCGAGAAAGCCACGCCGCGGAACCAGAAGCGCATTTACGCGATTCGTTCGTCGCAATCGACGCGGCGCGTCGTACGTATTTGACTTTATTGCTTCCTACTCGATGCCAGTTTAACGTTCAATCGTGTAATGGACTCAAAAGTGCTGTCCGTCACGCGAGCTTTGCGCCGCGGCGAGAACGCGTTTCGGCCTAAAATAAACTTCGCGTCTCAGACCGCGCGGGCGTATTGTATCGCGGTGGAAAAAAAAGAGAACAACGTAATACTTTATGCAACGGCAATAACACGGCGCGTGCAGCGTAAAGCAAATATTTGGGCGCGGAGTCCGGCTCGAATCGCTGGCACGTGAAAAGGCGAATCACGAAACGTACGCGATCGTTAGAAACCCGCGTGACGATCGCGCGAATGGGTTTAATTACCTCGACGCGTTCAGAAATGATTATTTAGCTGCGTAATAACAGTATTATATTCTTCCAAACGCTTCGTTCATTCTTTATTTTTTCTAAAAATGTTGACAACTTTGAGTGTTATAGATAGAAAAATAAACGTTAATTACAAGTATTTAATAATTTAAATTAAATATGAAATATGTAAGATAGTTTCTAAAATTTGCTTTTATCGATTACCTTGTTTATTATGAAACCTGTGCGTGTTTATGCTGTAATTAATATATTATTCTTATATTTTCAATCGAGAGAACGAAGCATGGTCGTTTCTATGCTACTATACGTACAGATATTAAGGTAAATTTAGTCAAATGTAGAAATCCGCGATGTCCCAATATCCGACTATAGATGTCCTAGATATCGACATGTTCGACATCTAACTCTAGCCGTGAGTCGCATGTTTTATTTACGATTGATTAACGGGCGCCATTAAACAATGTCGGAATTAAGTGCCTCGTGCAGTATTTTAAATACGAGGTTTTGCTTCGATGGGAGATAAGAGGCGATCAAATTCCGCGTACCGCTGTCCGTCGTAGTGTCGCGGTTCGATCTCGTGCCAGCGACGCTAGGAGAGATATTAGGAGCCCTTTCGCGCGACGCTTGTCGGGTACGTTTGATCTCCGCCTAAACTACGAGAATGGTCGCGTCTCGCGTGACCTATCTACGTAGCGAGACGTAGGAGCGGGATCGTTTCGTCGACGACGGGAACAAACGAGGAGAAACAACGGCGAAGCAGGGAACGCGAGATACGCGGAACGTTTTCGTCCAACGAAACGTCAATGGTTATCGGCGCGCGTCATCGTTCGGCCAGATAAATCAATATGTCGGTGGAAATTTATTCCACGATACGCGAGCGTCGTCGGTCGATTCAAAGGTTTCGCCCGAGACAGAACGTCGATGTTTCGCTAATGAAATCGATCGTCGTGAATGAAATGCTGCATCGTCGCGACGTCAAGCGCCACGTGACTCCTGTTCCTCTCTTTCTATCGCGTTTGCTCGTTCTTTGCTCGCGTGTGTTCCGCGTAGGTATCGCTCGAGGTCGTTCCTCGACAGCGTCGGAACGATAACGCAACGTTCGCCGACTTTTCGTGTTTTTTTTTCTTTTTTTTTTTTTTTCATGTTTCTTTTTCTACGTCAGTTAGCTAATGCATGCACGGCGTCATCGGTGTGTTCCGGCGTGCTGCGAGCCTCGAGCGTTATCGATCGACGCGAGACGCTCGAGACTGGTTTCGAATCGATCGGGACGTAAGGTCGATACACGCCGCGGAATCGACCCGGCGAACGGGTCGCGGGTGTTACGATGGTTACGAAAACGGTGTCGTTTTCGAGACGCGGTCAGGACTCCGTGGAATTCGTCCCGCGGTGGTCGACGACGCGAGGAAGAAAGCTTGTCGGGAGTCGCGTGTTCTCACGGGTGCCAGTCCAGAGGCCACGAACAAATCTAATTGGTTACGAGACCGTGTTGGTTACGGCTCATTCGAGAAAACTCGAGTGTAGGAGCGATACGTGTGTCGGCTGTTGCGTCGCGTCGTTGGTGGAGCGTGCACACCGAGGAACCGAGCAACCATCGCATACCTACGCACACGCGGCCACGGTTTGTCGCGCACACCCGTGTCGTACGCTATCTTCCTGTGTGTCCCTCCGTCGAGACGCTCGGATTATAAGGAATGTCGACGAACAGTGCTATTTCTGCCATCTCTATTCCGTAACAATCAGGGACGTATAGAGCGGGAACGTCTCGCCACGCTGCAATAATCTCTCGCCCTTTCACGGACCCTCAGCCTCCGGGATCTGTCATTTTTTCCATTTTCTGCTACTTTTATTGTCCTTAATTGACGCAACGCGGTTCGTCGTTCTTCTGCGTCCACGCGCTGGAAATATACCGGATACCCTTTTCTCGTATTTCGTACGGACGATCCTTTTTCTCGTGACTTGACGGTATCGAACGCAATAATCTCGGGTTACGCGAAGAATGTTGAATTAAAAATTCATTCGCGTTATAGAGAGAAGGGCGATACAGTACTGCCTTGCATAATATCCCGTAGTTACCCCCACTGCTCGAACTGTATCTCGCTCGTTCTCACCGTTCTTATTCGCTGTCGATGTATGCGAACGCTAGCGAACCGAAGATAGATAAATGTCGGTCAATCCGTGGAACGATACATCCCTCGCGAAATGTCCTAGCATGACCTGATTCGGGATATTACTCAATATCTACCAATGAATAATACGACCCAAATACAACTAGCCTAAGCTTTGAACGATGAATAGCATTTTTTCCTCGTAAAGTTTGTCTACTAAGACTAGGGGAGCATCCTATATATATCGAACAGAGACTGTCGATCGCTACTTCAAGAAATCCAAAGTTGGACAGAGTCGCGTGTACCTGGCCACGCAGGTGATTAGCGAACGACTTGCAATCGGAATCGCGTCACACTCGTGACGGCAGCCGAAATGCATTAAAATCGGTCGCGATAACGTACGACGCGCAGAAACTATGCATGAATTTTTCAAGCGGCCGAACGGGCCACATGTTTGTCTCACGTGACAGCTCGTATCGGTAGAATCCCAACGACCTGTGCCACATAATTTTCCGTGTACACGGTGCAGAGAGCAATGTTGTGTCACGTTACACTACTCTCGCTCCACCCTGCGCGCTCGTACGCACGCACGGTGGCGCGTGTGTATGCGTGTACGCGTGTGTGCGTGCGCGATAAAAGCCGCGGTACACGCGTACGCACACATACACCGATTGGCCAGTACAGCGCCACCCCGAATACCGGATGTGACGACACTCGCGCACTTGGCCCGACGCACTCTTGAGATGTCTCCCTTCCTCCTCTCCCTCGCGTTCCGTCTCGCTCTGGCTCTCGGTTTCTTCCTCCCTTGCCCGTCTCCGTTCCCCGACCCTGTCTGCCCCCCTCGCGTCTCCTCCCGCCGTGACGGCGCACACTGCTCGGTACGCGAAAGTCCCTGCTCCCCCGTCACCCCCACCGCACCCGGTGCCTCCCCTCCTCAACAGGGCGCTATTTACCCTCGTAGTACCGGCGACGGCCGACCGCGGCGCTGCCCGGTCTCTTGCGTCGCATCTCGTTCGGTGTTCTCGACGTGCACGGCGTCCGACTTGCGCCACCGCGCACAGTCCCACGCGGATCTTCGCGCGCGCGTCTCTCTGCCGCGAGTGTCATCGCGAATCGTGCCTTTGTCCGGTTTTCGCGATGCCTTTGCCCCGTCCACGAGTCGGTGTCGCGGCGACGAGTTCGGTTTCACGCGGTTCGCGTGTGCACGCGCGGTCACGGTGCACAAGGATCTCGAGATGCCGCCGCCGCGTGTGTTCCACCAACGAGCCGCCACGAGAGAGGGACAGAGGCGAGGGGTAGCGCGACAGACGGAGAGAGAAAACATACTCGCGGCCATTTTAACTGCGCCGTACGCTAACCCGGGCCACCCAGTGTGTAGTACGAGAGCCAGAGAACCGCCGTTGCTCTCTCCTAAAGGCTTAAACTGCGTCTCTCGCGTGTGCGCTTTGCTTCTGCGCACGCGACTCCGTACATGTTGTTTCTCACGAACGCGCGGACGCGCGCACGCACGCACGTCTCCGCGTCGCGCGTGTATTACGCATACTTTCTCGTTTCCCACGTAGTTCGTTCGCCCGTGTGTGCCATCTTTCGTTACGGGTTGCTCGTCGGCACGGTGAAAATTGACAGCCAACGGAGATGGATCGTCGATAGTGACACGGACCGAGAAGCGGCACGCGAACGAACGGCCAACGGAACGTGCGCTCGACCGATATGTTTGCTTGTTTTCACGACGGGAAGCGCGCCAATCGGCTGGCCCGTGAGAACCCGTGGATACGCGTCGCGCATCGCGGGGGAACGCGCGAGAAACACGATCGGGGGAATCCCTTGTGAAAGCAATTGCGGGAACCACAACAAAGAAACGGTTAGTCGGGATAGAGAATTTGTTCAGCCGGTAACAACGGAGTTGACAACGGCCAGGGTTACCCTACGATAACCCGTACGGTAGAATCGGAACGCGATGGAACAAATTGGAAGTGCCGGAAAGCTTGGAAAAGGAATACAACGAACTGGGAATAATCGGGGAACAGACCGAACGAGTGACGACGGATCAAGACGGAAATTGTGGAAATAGCGCGAGACACCGTAGACGGGTAGACGTGTCTCGAACGCGGCGCTACGATGGGAAAGTGGAAAAGGATCGAAAACGTAAGTCGTACGTACGGAAAGAGGTTAAAGACGCGCGCGAAGTGGGAATAAGGAAAGTTCGACGTCCGGGGGGGCAGCGGTGGGACACGGAGAGGAAGAAAAGTTATCGTGCGCGCGACGTCGTAGGTACGAATGAAGAACCACCGCGTGACTCGGAATCTGCGCAGTAAATCGCGTTCACGTGAACGCGGCTCCGAGAACGGGCGCTCGTCACGAGGAAAGCTTTTGAAACTCGATCGCGTCACGAGTACGACTCCGTAGCCCGTTTCGCTCTTTACGCGCGTTTACGTTTACTCTTCGTTTTTTCGCCTCGCATCTGCTCTTTCTGGCTCCGGTTCCGTTCGTCTTTCGGTCTTCGTTCGTCGGTCGCGCAACGGATCCCCTTCTGCGAAAGACGTGGGCGACGCGGTGGCTTACGTAATGCCACAGCGATAAGACGGATAACGGCGTCGCGGCTTCGAACGGGCCACCGAAGCGGCGCCTCTATTTTCGAACGCACGAGTCACCCGTTCGCCGCTTAACGCCGCGCGTCGTCTCGCGACACACCCGAAAATTTTTCCTAACCGATAAAAATGTCGCGACCGAACGATCGATCGTTGCATCTCGTCCGACGGTCGTTCGATGACACCGCTGGAATTGCTCCGCGAGCACGGTTTTCCCGACGCGCGTGGCATCGCCCACGGGGCGTTCTCGTCCCGGTCGAATCGTCGTCGCGACGCGGTTCGCCAAGGTGAGACGACGACCAGCGAGAGAGTTCCTTTTCCAGCCGGTGACCTCTGGTCAGCCAAGGACGCGGTCGTTCCACGATGCCAAGATTGGCCAACCGAGCGGACAAAATGGAGTTTAGATACGCCGTGGAACGGAACGAGGAACACCGACGGTGGATCGGGGGATTGGCCACGTGGTGCTTGACGTCCGAAATCTCAGCCACGTACGGCGTTTGATAACGCTCGGAGAAGCGACGGCGTGACTCATCGTCCGACTATGCGAAACCGAATCGGCTTGCACGATATTAAAATCGTGCAACGTTTTGCAATTCACACGCGACGGCTCTGGAGAGACGGACGTGTCACCGCCTCGTGCCGATGCCTCTGGCGAGATCCATCCATCGTATCTCGGTGCCCCATTGCTGCCTATCGTTTCTATCTGAATTGGAGATGTCGCGTCAAAGGATCGCGGCGGCGTGTGTGGTCCACGTTGCCCGTCGAAAAAATTCTTTTCGCCGGTGACACCGACCGGGCAATTGGCGTATCAAAAAGTTCGCTTTGGAAAGATCGGTAGAGGGGGCGAACGACGGTGGTGGGGATCGCGCTTCGCATGGTGGACGTGCAAGATGGCGGCCCCGGGTTAAAGACACGTGAGAATCGTGTTGGCGCATCGCGACCCTGAAAAATATTCCCGGTGACATGTGTATCGGCGCGCGATTTTCCTCCCGACACGACCTTTCGCCTCGCCGTCTCGTTTCTCGACTTCGTCGCGATCGATTTCCATTCGTTACCGTGGTTTTTCGATCGAATGTGCGCGTCTACTCTCCGATCCGTCCATCGTTCGCACGGCAATCGCGACCCACGATGTGTCTGACGTGCGTCGTTCGACGTTTCGATGGAATCCACGACGAACCTCGTGCAACCAGCAACGTAAAAGGTAAGACAACAGATTCAGATAATTGGTTATCATTGTTCTCGCATAGTACTATTATAAACATTTCCTAAACCCTTCGTGAATTAACCTTGTTGGGGTCCGAGATTTTTTATATTTACTTATATTTTCTTATTGCAATAACGAAAACTCCCATTTACGGTTATATATACTTAACATAAGCGTACCCTTTTAAAACCTTTCTGAAGCCTCGAGCATTCGTACGATGCATTTTACGTAAACTTTCGAGGTTTGTTTCGAACGATAATAAACATAGTCGAAATACTCCATTATCCCAGTAATTATTTTCCACGCATTTGAGTCGTCAGGTTAAGAAGTACTTCGCTTACGAGACAATTAAAATCGTGTTATTATACTCGAACGAAGCGTTTAATGGGGCACCGAGTGGTCACCATGAAACAATTATCTGATGATCATATTAAACTTGAGCTAAGGTTCGTTGTCGTAGAATAAATAGTTCTCTGCTTTTGTTATTGAGGATGCAAACAGTATTTTCCGTGGTCTTACTGTGCTGGACGACGTTATGCATTTGTCTTCCATGTTTATTTTAATACTTACTGGCGAGACATTGATATCGTTTCGAAATAACGCAGGGATGTATCGACTGGCAATACCAGCCGTCGAATTCTGTTCGTTAAATCCGAAATCCGTTAAATCGAGGTTTTACTACCGCAGTCTTTGGGACTGTACGACCGTGTTAGCGACCATAATTTTCGAGCGTACGCGTGCACTATACGTTGCACACTTTCTGCAATAACTATATAAATACTTTTCTGCTTTCCATCGTACAGTAAATCGTTCCAATGTCGTAGTAAATAATCGCAAAGCATATACATACACGTATTTAGAGTATATGCCGATATCGAACCAGCGCCATATTTGTTTCGTTTACGCCCTTAGGCGAGAAATGTTATTGCGTACCGATTTCTATCCGACTTCTTTTCGATCGAAACGAATTTTGCAAAATGTTCGTTAAGCGCGTCAGACGCCGTTTTTATGAAAAGAGTTGCATAGATATAAAAAATATATTGCTTCGCTATCCCCTCTTTAAAAATGCACGTACATTGTGCGGGTCCTGATAAAACTGGTTCGAATAAAAGTACATTAACCCTTTGTGGACAGACATTTTGAAGCACGATTGTTGGACGGGACGGGTTTCGAGCAGATGGCAGGGAAATAAACGTGTATCAAAAAATTATTTTATCCCGTATTTAAATTCGATTTTGATCTAACGAACCGCTTCTCGTACGTACAAAGGAAATAATTTTTTTTTTTTTTAATTCGTTGCTGCGAGTTCGTTAACGATTCCGCGATTATTCTTGATAACACTTTTCTTCGCTATCTGTTGATCGGCAGTTTGTTAACTTCAGAAAGTTCAGTTTCCAATCAGCGTGATTACCATTAATTACACAGAGCCAGCGAGTAATCAGATGTTGCGGGAACAGAAGTACATTGTTGCGTAATGAAGGAAGTCGTACTTCATTTGTCAAAGTCGGAATGTCTGCGTTCGACAACCCGATGTTTAGCCACGTAACACCGCCCGTGTTCTTTTCAAGTTAATTAACAGGCGGCAAATTTAACGCGTGCTCGGCATACCGTCGCTAGGTAAAACTCCATGCTCCAGAAAGAGGAGAGAAATCACGGGGTAGTGGGGATTAGAAGTTACGAAAGTCCATTCAAACCTCTTCCAGGTCACAGGTACGGACGAAAAAGTGTTTAGTTATGCCACGAGCGCTTCGACAAATCGTTCGCGGAACGGGGGAGAGAAAAAAATGGAGCAACGTTCGGTAGGCGAGGCAATAACGCGATGCCAAGTTTCATATGCAGCGGCCAAGAAACTGCCGCTGGCACTAGTAATTACCGGTTTACTACTTCGCGGTTCCGTTCGAACTATTTGCATTTTCCTGTAATTAGAACCCCTCTGATCACGGGTAGCGTGGCTCTCAGCGACGACTAGACGAACGTCGAGGAGCCTCCCGGAAGGACGCGTCCTGTGCGACCACCAAGTTTCCCTCGCGAAAAAGACGCGATTTGCATTCGTAACGTGGCTTCCTTTGCGCCTTTGTTCGTCTTTTTCACCATCTATGACTAGATTAGTTTGTAAAAATCAACGCGCAACAGTCCCCGTACCGAGACCTCGTAACCCAAATAGAAACGCGAAAGAACGGAACATATGGACCGATTCTGAAAGAACAAAAACGTTACGAGATCTCTATCGATCACAGTGACTCACTGCAACGCGAATAGAAAAGAAAAAGAAAACAATAATGACTACGGGTAGGAACTTGCCACGCCTCGCCGCGACTACGAAATCGCGATTAAACCCACCTACTGCAAAGGTAATCGAAGAGGCGAAAATACAGTCGGAATTTCTTCGAGCGAAAATGACAATATCATGCATGTTGTAATTTATAACGCTGGCCATAGTGGTTAATTACTTAACGGTTGCTTCGACCGTAATAGGCGAATAGTACATCGTCGGAGGTTTCGCGATCGTCGTAGAAATTATTCCGCGAAAAATCGTTACGAGCGCCCGTGGTTGTAACCCTTGTTCCGCGTGGCAGGCCGAATTCACGTTTCGACCTGTCGCGACCAGTCTGGGATTCCGAGGCAACTGGTATCATTGGCAGCTGAGAAGAATGCCTCTGAGGGGTGCACTCGGTTCAAACGATGCTGCCCGTACCACCGCACACACGCACGGAAGGTGCGAGGCTTCCGATTGGTGACGCACTGTCTGCCAATCGGAAGCCCTCGCGCCTTCCGTGCGTGTGTGCGCGCGCCGCTACGGACAGAATCGTTTGAACCGGCGGACCGTGTGCCCCCTCGGAGGCATTCTTCCCAACTGCCAACGATACAACTCGTTTTATCGGGGGCAGAGGATCGCCGCAACCGTTCTGATTTTCATTTCAATGCGTTCGAGGAGAGGACTGCGTTTCCTACAGCAAGCTCCTCCGACAGAGAGAGTCGTGGACGCGTGCCACCGATCGCCGTAGCTGACTTGTCGACGGAGCTTGCCAACGGAAGACGGTAGGGGGCGCGTTTCGATGTCTCGCGAAAGCAGCGCGGGGCCAGAGATACGGCGGCTCGCGGAAGCGTCGACAGCCGATGGGGAAAAAAATGGGTAACGATATTACGTGCTTAAGGGCGAATGCAGAAGGGGTGTGTCCGAGAGCGATGGCTGTCGGAAGCTGTAATGGAGATTGATGGCCAACGCCGCGGAAAAGTCGATGTTGGGAAAGTAAATTAGCACGCGGCCAGATCGGGCTTAAAATATTGAAATCGGTGATGGGAACGGTTACGGGGGATCTACTCCTCTCGCGTCCTCGTTTTAATCCAACGGACGGGCGTCGATTTCAGCCGCGATACGGAGAGAAAACGAAGGGACGCTTTGAAAATAATTACGCATTATGCACCGAGCTCTGGATAAACCGCGTTTGTTTGTACGTATTGATAACGTCGAGGACCTATCACTACCGATAAACGACGAACGAGCGAATAGCGAGCCCCGAGGTGTGGAATGCAGTTGGGTGGGCGAATCGTATTTGGTTACTACCATAATTGTACTTTGACGCTATTCCATTGTTTTTACCGTACGCGTGGGTAGATCCCAAGACGACCAGGGGTTAATTTTTGTACAAGGCGCTCTCGGAACGTTATCGAGCCTGCTATTCACCGGTACTGTAAACGTTTACGAAAAAGATGAACGACGAGATTCGTGGACCAGAACCGCTTGGATTTACTTACGTGTTGAGATTGTACAATTATTTCGTCCCGAGCCAAAAACTGTTTACACATCCGCGACCAACAACCGCCTACCCGGATGTCGTAGGTAAAGCCATGTATACCTTTATGGCTCGCGTGTCTCCGATCTTAATGAGCCCTCCTCTTGCGTTCCTTCTCGTGGAAATACGCGCGTTCGCGTCCCACTCCCGTCCGCGTGTAGGCGCCAGAAATCTTTCATCGGCTTGTTACGATTTATAATTTGTCAGAAACGGTGATACAAACGACCGATCATCCTACTGCTTTCAGCTTTCGAAACCGTGTTCGATACGATTGCCGTGGCATAAATCAACCTGACGGAGGGGAATCGAACGCTAGCAGGCGCTGGACTGCGTTCTTTCGCGAATAAAATCAGAAAATTTCCTAAAAAACGATACTTTTTGTTTCGATGTTAAATTTATCAACCCTCGAAAAGCTTGCTACTGTAGAAGAATAAAAAAACGGGAAGTCACAGGTTGACGCTGGAACTACCAAAAAATGGTCAAAATGGCCCATTAGTAATTTCTAATAAGAATCGTAAAAAATTTGCTCGAGACTCGACCGCCTCCTGTTCGAAATGAAGGAGTGGGAATCTCCCACCTTGCCGGAACACGGCTCAATTACAAATGCATCGGGGGTCGTCTTTGTCGAAGTCGCGCCGACAGTATAACGTACAACAGCGGCGATATTAAGAGTGTTCGCTTACACTGCGTATTTTTGCGTTCCGTTCCCAGTAGAGATAAAGTCTTTCTTCGAATTCATCTTTAAATAAATCAGATCCGACGATCGTCGTCGTAATTCACGGAGTTGCTTCTTTCCAATCTCTCCAGGGACGAAGATAAATATTCCCGTGGTGTGTTGCTGTCCCTGTTCCGTCGTCGATGTCGCCGCGGAGACAACCAAGTTTCGAAGGAAACCCGGCGAGGGTGCAGGTGGCTCGTATGTCGAGAAAATGAAGTCTCTCGTCTTGGAACAATGGGCTGTGACGTGCGCGCCAGGAAGCATACATGTCTCACTTCCGGTGACTCGACGTCTAATTGATTCTCAACCCCCTTGTTCGGTTAGCGTCGTCTATCGGGGCCTCGGAGCCGGCGTTGTTCGCGTCTTTGTCGTCTTTGTCGTAGCGAGTCACCGTTCGCGTCGACGAAACGATTCGCGAAAAGTCGTAAAACGCAGCCACTCCCGGAGGGGTGGTGGGGCGAATTTTAATGCAGATATAACCGGGG